GTTTTGTAACATTGCATGGGAAGCTAGACTTAAATTAGCATAAATATGTATGTTTTATTATAGTAAAGTGCTGTGCTATCTACATGCAGAGTAGGTTTTAACTGTTAGATTATATTACTAAGTTAAACAACTCTATACAACAATAGTATATTAACCATTTCAATCATTGGTTATCATATACGTACATGTAGGTACTACTGAAGTAATATATCCACCCTGCATACGTGCGTGCATTTCTAAAAATAAAGTTTATTTTCCAATTATTTCATATTTTTAAAATACTCAGTCTCAAAGCATATAGAACACTAAAAAAGAAGGGCCGGGAGAAGCTGAAAAAGCGCGCTCCGTACTCTGGAGTCAAGGATGAGATAAACTTTAAAATTGACTGTCATATCCCACTATTCAGCCAGACAATACTAGCTCAAGAGTTTGCAGTGAGTGTTGTTCACTAACTGCCTTACCTCTAGTCTATCAGTTTAAAATTAGGGACGGCTATGCGTACAGAACCTTTGTGTAGCGTTGTGCAAACATCTGAATGAACTAAAAGAAGGACGTTGCTTGTTTGTTGAATTTCGCGCAAGGCTACACGAGAACTGTCTGCGCTAGCCGTCCCTAATTTAGCAGTGAAAAACCTGAGGGAAGGCAGCTAGTCAACATCACCCATCGCTAACTCTTGATCTGCTCTTTACCAACGAATATTGGAATTGAACGTCACATAATAACGCCTCACCACTGAAAGGACGAAGGATGCTCAATGACAAGATTTGAACCCGTGACTCGCAGATTGCAGAACGAGTACTCAAACCACTAGGCCACTGCAGGCCAAAGAAGAAAATACTCTTCATCTAGTAGCAAACTAACACAGCGACAAGGTTGAGAAGACAAAGCAACGTTTTTCAACTTATTATTATTTACAAAAATTAATAAATACGACATTTTTCACATCTTTTAACTCCTTCGCGAGTTCCGTGATGGTCATTACCCAGTTTGAAAACACCTACTCCCAAATATAAGAATCAATTCACAAAAAACTCTATTAATTAGAAAAACTTAATCTTCCACTACAAAGAAAGTGAGTGTTTGAGATATATTTCGAGAAATTAAGTTAAGAGCAAAATAACTACATGTGTATTCCTTTTTGATATCAATGATTTATCGCATAATATTCAACATACTTACGCGTTAACAGCTCCTCATGCGCACGTGGGCTAAAGAGCTGGTTCAGAAACACATACAGTTCGGTTAGAGTGAAAGTTATCAAATTGTTATCTGATTGTTGAAGATAGACAGAGATATTTGAGATTTATGAGTACGACAACAAGGACTTGGATAACGTTTTAATCAACAGTTTTTTTAAAGCGTTGCTCTATCTATATTCTATAACTTTCATAAAATATAATCCACCGTTACTCAAAGAGTAGTTCCTTAATTCGAACTATTGTTTGTTTGTTTTGTTTGTTTGTTTTTAATTATGCACAAAGCTACACAAGGGCTATCTGTGCTCTGCCCACCACGGGTATCGAAACCCGGTTTCTAGCGTTGTAAGTCCGCAGACATACCGCTGTGCCACTGGGGGGCAGCATCTTTGTACTGAAATATGAGGAAAATCAATTTTTTTCA